GTTGGCAGGAATAGGTTTGGTTCTCGCTGTCTTTGAAGAGTCTCTTCTCGCCGTTTGGCCAGCCTGTGCGACAACGGTTGTCAGGTTCAAGCCTCCTCGACTTTTTTTAACTTAACTTTGAGTAAAGTTGAGCTGCGAATCAGCGGCCGGGGGCGGCCAGCCGGGCCCTCACTGAGCCTCAGGGGCAGTCACAGGCTGGCAGTGACCTTACGGCCCTAGTCACCGCGGGGCCCGGCGGGTGCCTACTCAGGCTCCGGGCGGCCGCCGAGCCATGTGGCGGCGGGGGCGGGCGCCCGCGACTCAATGCGCCGCATGAATAGTTTTCCAACCATCATTGTTACTGACAATGATAACAAGGGTTGATGAATTAGTAGATGAAAGATCATGTGAAGGTCTTATAAAAAAGGTGGGGAAATACAATGTTATTCCACGCTCCTCCTTGTACCATCATGCCTGCTCCTGCTCCTGCTCCTGCTCCTGCTCCTGCTCCTGCTCCTGCTCCTGCTCCTCCTCCTGCTCCTCCTCCTCCTGCTTCCACTCCTACTCAGATCTCTCTCATCACCTGGCCTCTCGCTGCCATGGATCGTTTCTCCTTCTCTCTCGCTGCTCGCTCCGAAGTTGAACTGAGCCATCGCACAGCGCTGGCAACATGTCACGGTAGGGGTACTTTTAACCGTTTCGAGGGGGGTGAGGGTGACACTCATCAAGACTTGAGTCAGTCTGGGGCCCCGGCCGGGCCGGGTCACCGGGTGGCAATGCCGGGCCCGGGGGCCACGTCAGCCCCGGGCCCGGCCCCAGCATCCCGGCGGCCGCGCCGCCCGCCGGGCGGCGTCCGCGCAGATAGGAACTCCGGAGTAGACCGGCCGCGGCCAGGGGCGGCGCGTCTAGGTGAGGTGGACGATGCGTTGCGCTTTCTGACGGTGCCACGGTGGCTGGCGGCCCCGGATCGGCGAACAAGGAAACGGCAGCGCTGGATGGTCTCTCGGCCTCGCAAGATGTCTCAGGTGATCCGACTTGCAAATGCATCCGGTCCAGGATCTTTCGTCAGCTCAAGGCCTCCCTGTCCTTCGCTGCCATCCGACAGGCTCTGAGTCTGATCGCGGGTCACCCGGGTGCATCCCGGCCCGTACTGATGCGGCGTCGGTCTCATTCCTTCCGGGCGGCCGCGGCCACAGCGATATCGCTGGCATGGCGCGGGGGAATTGTCCTGCGCGCAGTTAAGTGAAGGTATCAGTTGGCAGGAATAGGTTTGGTTCTCGCTGTCTTTGAAGAGTCTCTTCTCGCCGTTTGGCCAGCCTGTGCGACAACGGTTGTCAGGTTCAAGCCTCCTCGACTTTTTTTAACTTAACTTTGAGTAAAGTTGAGCTGCGAATCAGCGGCCGGGGGCGGCCAGCCGGGCCCTCACTGAGCCTCAGGGGCAGTCACAGGCTGGCAGTGACCTTACGGCCCTAGTCACCGCGGGGCCCGGCGGGTGCCTACTCAGGCTCCGGGCGGCCGCCGAGCCATGTGGCGGCGGGGGCGGGCGCCCGCGACTCAATGCGCCGCATGAATAGTTTTCCAACCATCATTGTTACTGACAATGATAACAAGGTTGATGAATTAGTAGATGAAAGATCATGTGAAGGTCTTATAAAAAGTGTGAAATACAATGTTATTCCACGCTCCTCCTTGTACCATCATGCCTGCTCCTGCTCCTGCTCCTGCTCCTGCTCCTGCTCCTGCTCCTGCTCCTGCTCCTCCTCCTGCTCCTCCTCCTCCTGCTTCCACTCCTACTTCATCAGATACCTCGAATCAGATACTGGCATCCAGCAAGCACACATTCATCCTTCAACCCCAGGAAAGGCTGACAAGAGACTTGATGCTAAGAAGCAAATCCTAGAGATGACGTTGTACCGTACTAATCAGCATTTCTGAATTGAGTAACGAGATAATCGAACAATCCTCGGAAACAGATGACCTTCAGGGCAGTTGCTCACCAGGGTCAAACTCCTCGTCAGTCCTGTGCGACTCAGCAATACCTTTCACTCCCTCTAAACCTTCCCGTCGCGTCACACGCTCGTTGGCTGCTCGCGACGATGAAGATGATGACGATGCTCTTCCACTGCGAAAGCGCAGACGCCATGACCATGCAGCTCTGTCCAGCTCTGCGACTGCTTCGCCAGATCCCGAAGCCTCAAGCAGTGACGAAGAAGAGGACGTGGTTCAGCAACAGGAGAGCGATGAAGAAGGTGATGACGCACGGGTGCCGCTGAGCATGGCAGCTGCCGAAGAACAGGTGCAGCCGCGGATGCATCATGCATCCAGGATCGCAATCGATGCACCCGAGAGTCAACTGGTGGAGACCATCAGCAGCTCTGGTTCCCCAAGGACGACGTCACATCGGCGGAAAAGCGCAAGCGGTATCATTTCGATTTCCGGCAGGCGCTGCTGTGTGTGATTCGCAAGTTCAAGTCCCGCGGCGCGGGTCAACGGCCGCTGGAGGAGCGACTTCGATCCTTCCCCGGACGGCGACATGCCCGAGATCATCGCAGGTGTCACGCAGAACGGCAAGACGCTGATCAAGGTCCTCGCCATCGTCGTGGGGCACCTGCTGGGCGTCTGTTCCATCATCATCTCCACCACCAAGAAGTGCCGCGGACTCCCTCAGAAACAAGATCGACTGAGAAGTACCTCTATCGTGACCTGCATCCAAAGCTCCAACCCAACATCAAACTGGCACATCAGCGAGCTCGACGAACACGGGTATGGGCCCCAGCCCATGTGCAACTTCCTCCGGAAGCATGGCTGTCTTTTCATCAACGACACCTCCAGGCAGATCTCCAACGCCTCTCGCACGATTGATAAGGCTCGTGCCCTCTTCCAGCTCATCCTGGATGAAGCTGACTCGTACTATCGCCGCAGCTCCAACCCCATCCAGCTCGAGCTGGCACTCGAAAACATCCAGGCCAAGATCAGACCTATCTTGCGCTGGAGAGTGTGCGCGACGTTGATGCCTGTCTTCCTTCATCTCAAGGACAAGCAGATGGGCAAGCTCGAGGACAACGGCTTCCAGCACGTCACGGTCCTCACGTACCGTCCCCAGGACTTTGACTCGGCGCAGGCCCACCCTCAATGGCTGTCGGAGTTGCTGGAGAAGATCCGAACGCCGCGGCAGCAGATCGGAGAGGTCACATCGAGCTCCGCGATCTAGACAGACGGAGCGAACGTGACGGCCCGTCAGAACAAGTCTATCGGACAGAGGACGGACAACCTCATGCTCGAGACTACGTTCGACAGCGGCTGGGCCCGGCGGCTGTGAGCGCCGGCGGGGCCCGGGGGGTCAACGGTTCCTCGACCGGCTCATCGAGAAGGATGTTGAGCTGTGCAAGCTGCTTGCCATCGGCATGCAGTACACGGAGACGCGTGAGAACTTCGAGCTGGAGATGAAGCAAGAAACGTACGAGTGGAGGCATGACGGCAAGAGATCATGCCGACGCTTTCAACGAGAGCACCGAGAGCTCCGTTCACTGAACCGTGTTGTTCTTTCGGTCCAGGCTATCACCAAACGTCTGAGGAGACTGGTTGACGCTGGCATGCTCGTTTTCTGACGGATCAAATAACACACCGAAGAACAACTGTTGATCTGGACGACTGTGTGCCACGATTGTTGAGACGTCTTTGTGTGTATCGTCTTGTCTTGTTTTGTGTGTGTGTGTGAAAGAAATAAAAGAGAGTTAGATCTCCTTCTGTTTCACCGCTTTCCCTCTTAGTAGAGAAATCCAACGTGAGTTCTTATTGAACTGCGCTTGAAGGTCCACTCGAGAATCTTCGAGGTGTGACATAAAATTGGTAGCGAAGGTTGGTTGGACTGAGAGGAGTGGTGCAAGTTTGGTTGTGTTTTGAATTGTCGAAGTTCGAACACGGAACCACGTCGACGAGGAGGTGCGGTCCCTTGGCCATAGTTCCCATCATTGTTCCCCTTTGCAACTGGCGTGTCCTCCAACACCCTTTTGACTGCCGGCTCTTGTCGAGATAACAAAAAATCTGAAGGATTAAACGTATCGCTAATTGATCGGTGCATACGCGGAATCGTCATGGCAGAGGGAGTTGATGTGCTGGGTTTCTTCAACGGTTGTCCCTCCTCCCCAAATATGCGCTTTTATGGTTTTATTGATTCTGAACCGTGATGAGGGGGTTGCCTACCAAGACAGGGTCGTGGACTCTCTACTTCCAGATATCCACATCTTCGGCGTCTCTTCGGCAGGGGTAGCCAGACGTCGCAGTCGTCCAGCCAAACTTCTTCTTCTTTCCTTCTTCTTCCACATGCCGCGGTCTGCATCTGCGCATGCAGCCTCGGCATGGTGAGCTACAGCGCTCGGGTCTTCCTTGCGGAAGGGTAGGGGGGTAACCTGCCATGAGGTTTCTTCCGGTAAACCGTCCTTGTTTCCCCTGGTGTACCAAAGACGGTCGGGATAGGGTATCTTCCATTTCCACTTACTGCTGCCGCTTATGCATCCCGAGCAATACGACAGCAGGAGTCGAGGCGCGGGTCACATGGTGCGACCCTTCTGGAGGAGCTCCAGATGAGAGCGGCAAGTCTCCGGCGGGGGAGGAGCTCTCGCTCG